CCCTCTTTACAAAATACGTCAGTGAATCCTTATGTACAAACTGATTTATCCCAAAGAATACATATTCTATTCATACGAGCCTATCTTAAAATCTTGTCGGCATTAAATAACAAATTGAGGTTGATATACCTTAAAACAAAATAAACCAAACCTTTGCCTAAATAACCATCCGGGCAGGATACTGCTGAGGTTGAACGCCATATAGGAGATGCAGGGTCCACATTCGTGCGTCTCAAGCGGTTACTAGGGAGACGACGGGAGATTTCCACGGCTACGATGGGCCGGATCTATCAGGCTATTGTTCGGACTATCCTTCTCTATGGCTGCGAAACGTGGCCACTTAGAGCGCTTGAACTACGAAGGCGTGAAGTGTTCGACAACGATTGCCTTTGCTGCATTCTACGATGCCGCCGAATCGATCGTGTGCCCACAGCCACTCTACGTCGTCGCCTGAGTCTCCGTCCTCTTCCACTCGTCCTGCTCCAGCGTCGTCTCCGATGGTTCGAGCACGCAGCTCGACTCCCGGAGGGAGAGCTCATCCGCGATGTACTTCTCCCTCCTTCTCTTCCTGGCTGGCGAAAACGTGTCAGTGGGCAGCTGAGGACGTGGGCTAGCACAATCAAGGATGACCTAGCAGTATTATCGGGTACACAGGTAGTTGGTTTTCGACGATGGAATCGCGATTGGCTTGCCATTTCGTGTGACCTGGCTCAGGATCAGCGAGCGTGGGCAGCGATGGTCCGTGATGCTGTACTTGTTCGGGAGGTTACCTGTTCAACCCGACAAGGATGAAAACCGATACAAGTCAAGTCAAAAAGTTGCCTAAATAACCTAAATTTTATAAGTAAGCTGCCACCTCTTTATCCGGATTTGATCGTCAGTGAAAAAAATCGAAGACAACCTTTTTCAACTTATGAGTCGATTTATTTATTGTTGGTACAATTTTTCAACGTGATGGCACATTTCATTACCGCCGACTGAACACCGGTTAACTCATCTCCACGAATTGCTTCGTCCACCGCAAGGAAAGTTGGCTCCCTGTGCCGCGCCAGGAAAATTTTCTCCCCGGAATCGATCCTCCAGATCTACAAATCAACAATTCGCCCTTGCATGGAGTATTGCTGCCATATATGGTCTGGAGCCCCTTATGTTTGCCTCGGGGTTCTTGATAAGCTCCAGAGGCGGATATGCAATATAATTGGCCCTGCTCTGGCACCTCGTCTACAGTCACTTTCTCACAGACGCGCCGTCGCCTCTCTCTGTCTGTTTTACAAATACTTTCATGGAAATTGCTCCGAGGAGCTGCATTCGCTGGTTCCCAGACTTCATGAGTTCAAGCGCCCTATGAGGCTGGCATCCCGCTCTCACCCCTTCACTGTCGAAACTCCTAAATGTAGCCGTCTCTTCTACTCCAATAGCTTCATGTCTCGCACCTCTCGCCTGTGGAACTCCTTTCCCTATTCCAGTTTCCCTGAGAGCTATAATCTCCAGCTATTCAAATGTAATGTCAATCGACATCTCCAGTTGCCTTGATCTATCCACTACCCTTCTCCTCATCCTTTCTTCTATCACTCCTATCTGATCTTGCTCCAAATTTTCTGTAACCCCTTGCGTCCTAGTGGCTTCCCGCCTTGCTTGGGGTGAAACGCTTAAAAAAAAAACTCCAGGACAACTCACCACCAACCTATTCAGCGTGAGGACAACTCAATGATGGCGTCGAAATTCATAGCGTTAGACTCAGTGTTGGATGTCATACTATACACATCTCTTAGATCGGCTTTGAGTCGTCGAGATTTTGAAAGTTTCGCTGTTTGTCTTAGTGATTTATTAGTTACAACAGACTATTTGCCTGTGTCTAATTTTCAAGATCGGACAAATAACCATGCTGAAGCAAATAGAAGACTGCACATGCAATCGCCGAAGTTAAGTAACGTCGAGTCTGTTCAGTACCTAGATGGGTGACCGTTTGTAAGCTTGGATGTGCAGGTGGTGTAATGGATAATGGCAGTTAATCCAAGAGCAGAGTTCAAATCTTAGTTTTATTTGATTATATTCAAAAAATCAAAGCAAATACATTTAAATTATGAAAACTACCACTTTTTTTTTTTTATTTGGGTTAATTATAAATTAACTATTAATACACAAATATTCATTTTTTACAATCTAAAAATATTTTGTTCGGGCTGTTGTTTACATCTTTGTCATATTCAGTATGACAATAAAGATGAGGAGAACAATACGAAAAAGATAAACCGTGTAAATATGTACAGTACCTCATCTCAGAAATATAGACAGATCCTGTAGAAGACCGGAGCGTACAACGTCCGGAACGTTGTCAATACGACAATAAAGATGAGACCAACAGTTCGAACAATGCAAATAGTGTAAATAGTTAAAATACCTTATCTCATAAATTATAGACAGATCCTGAAGTAGACCGGGAGCGTACAACGGCAGAAACGTTATCAATATGACAATAAAGATGAGACCAACAGTTCGAAAAATGCAAATAGTGTAAATAGTTAAAATACCTTATCTCAGAAATATAGACAGATCCTGAAGTAGACTGGAGCGTACAACGGCAGGAACGTTATAAATACGACAATAAAGATGAGACCAACAGTTACGAAACAATGCAAATAGTGTAAATAGTTAAAATACTTATCTCAGAAATATAGACAGATCCTGAAGAAGGCCCGGAAAAACAACGACAAAAATTTGCAGGAACGTTAATTTATACGACAATAAAGATGAGAAATATTACAGTTCGAACAATGCAAATAGTGTAAATAAAGTTAAAATAAGTTATCTCAGAAATATAGACAGATCCTGAAGTAGAAAATATAGCGTATCAAACGGCAAGGCAAACGTTATCAATACGACAATAAAGATGAGACCAACAGTTCGAACAATGGAAATAGTGTAAATAGTTAAAATACCTTATCTCAGAAATATAGACAGATCCTGAAGTAGACCGGAGCGTACAACGGCAGGAACGTTATCAATACGACAATAAAGATGAGACCAACAGTTCGAACAATGCAAATAGTGTAAATAGTTAAAATACCTTATCTCAGAAATATAGACAGATCCTGAAGTAGACCGGAGCGTACAACGGCAGGAAAAAACATATATGACAATAAAGATGAGACCAACAGTTCGAAATAATGGAAATAGTGTAAATAGTTAAAATACCTTATCTCAGAAATATAGACAGATCCTGAAGTAGACCGGAGCGTACAAATATATAAGGAACGTTATCAATATTGACAAAAAAGATGAGACCAACAGTTCTGAACAATGCAAATAGTGTAAATAGTTAAAATACCTCATCTCAGAAATATAGACAGATCCTGAAGAAGACCGGAGCGTACAATGGCAGGAACGTTTGTAATATGACAATAAAGATGAGACCAACAGTTCGAACAATGGAAATAGTGTAAATAGTTAAAATAAAATTTATCTCAGAAATATAGACAGATCCTGAAGAAGACCGGTCATTCTTTTTTACAACGGCAGGAACGTTATGAATATGGACAATAAAGATGAGACCAACAGTCTGAATAATGCAAATAGTATAAAAAATTAAAAATACCTCATCTCAGAAATATAGACAGATCCTGAAGTAGACCGGAAAATACCAATGGCAGGAAACGTTATCAATATGACAATAAAGATGAGAACAACAGTTCGAACAATGTAAATAGTGTAAATAGTTAAAATACCTTATCTCAGAAATATAGACAGATCCTGAAGTAGACCAAAAGCGTACAACGGCAGGAACGTTATTGAATATGACAATCAAGATGAGACCAACAGTTTGAATAATGCAAATAGTGTAAATAGTTAAAATACCTTCATCTCAGAAATATAGACAGATCCTGAAGTAGACCGGAGCGTACAACGGCATAAACGTTATCAATACGACAATAAAGATGAGACCAACAGTTCTGAATAATGCAAATAGTGTAAATAAATTAAAATACCTTATCTCAGAAATATAGACAGATCCTGAAGTAGACCGGAGCGTACAACGGCAGGAACGTTATTTTTACGACAATAAAGATGAGACCAACAGTTTAACAATGGAAATAGTGTAAATTTTAAAATACCTTATCTCAGAAATATAGACAGATTTGAAATAGACCGGAGCGTACAAATTTCAGGAACGTTATCAATACGACAATAAAGATGAGACCAACAGTTCGAACAATGCAAATAGTGTAAATAGTTAAAATATTTATATCAGAAATATAGACAGATCCTGAAGTAGACCGGAAAACAACGGCAGGAACGTTATCAATACGACAATAAAGATGAGACCAACAGTTCGAACAATGCAAATAGTGTGAATAGTTACAATACTTCATCTCAGAAATATAAAGAGATCCTGAAGAAGTCCGAATAGTACAACGGCCGAAACGCCGTGAATGTGGCAAAAAAGTGATGACAACTGTCCAGACACTATGAATAGTTACAATACCTCATCTCAGAAATAGAGACAGATGTTGCAATTTGCTCTTTTAGTTTCTTTTTTTTTTTCATTGTATTTCAATTAGTTTCGTTATATTTAATTACGGGTAGATACCATTGGTGAATTTATGAAACCACCTTCCCTCCCAACTATAGGTTAATTAGTATCACTTGTATTACTAAATCATTATTAACTTAAAAAAAATATTATTGCAATCCAGGGACATTTTCTGGCTTTAAATAACTTGCGAAAGTGTTGATAAGCAGTAAATAAACGAATCAACCTAACTAACTTTTAATTTGTTTTTATATTAATTTCTAATCTGTAAATCAATTACCATTAGTAAGATTTATGCAAAGCTGCTATTTTAACCGAAATACATTGTTTCAAATCCTTTCACTGAAAACTGGTGTAATTGCTTCATACTATTGTGACACAATCATTTCATTGTAAAATTAAATTAACACCGCTAATCATACAAATAGACGGCCTTTATAAAAGGTGATATTTTGTATGATCTCCTTAGGAAAGGATGGCTCTTGCCATTGGGAGCGGAACTGCGAGTTAAGAGATTTGAATGTGAACAACCAGCACTCTCAGGTAAGATCACGAAAAAAAAAACGTAATGTTGATAATGGTCCGACAGGACGTCGACTACGGTCCCGAATCTCGGGATCCCCAATCTGAGCGCATTGAGTGTCTGTCCATGCGACGGTGGCGCAGCGGCTCTTTTACGGACTTGAGATATGACAGTACAGCGGCAACACTCAACCTCGGTTCCGGATATATCTCTTTCAATGCGCCGCTGTCGAGGTGATTCTTTAACGAACATCTGTAGCCGGACGGCTGCAGCATTCACCTGTTGGGAACGACGACTGACATTTGGCTTGCAATACCTCCTCAACACCTAGAAATTTGAGTCAAAGGACTAGAATGGCGACAAGCAGCGTCCTGTGGCAAGTTCATGGACGATGTCACAGCAAGGTTTTGACGGCCTTCCCGAGGGTGGGCTCCGTTACCTCATAGTTTATATACTATTTGCTACGTCTTCTACGTCTGATGGAATGTTAACGCTGTATATTTTTAATCAATCCCACCACAGGGAAGGTATTAATGCCACTAAGACGCAAGGAGCTACCAGTAATAGAAGGAAAAGACTAGAAAAACCGGAAACCCAATCCTAAAATAGAAACAAGGGATAGACATCTACTCCTATTCAAAAGTGCGTGAATATGAACCTTGAGACAGACGAATCAGTCTATTCATTTACGACAGTATACATTTTAGATTTTAGGTGGATACGTTAGAAGTATAGAGTTGAACTAGATTTTAGAGGGAACTGGAAACCCAATCCTAAACAGGAAACAAGGGATAAACCTCTACTCCTGTTCAAAACACCGGTGAGAATTGTGATCCTACTACAGAAGAAAATAAAATAAATACTAAATGAGCCTAGGCGGAGATGTTAGAGGTATAAATTTAAAGTAGACTTTAGAAAGAACCAGAAGCCCAATCACAAACAGGAAACAATGGATAAACCTCTACACATGCGCAGAAAGGTGAGGAGACGCTGCGGATTTTAAATTTCATATTTTTAAAATATATATTTTATGATATATAAGCTAGCCGATTTCGTTTAATTTCTTTTTATTCACGTTTGTATCACGTTTGTATCACTTATGTAATTATATACACCACATTTTGATAAGAAACAAAATTGGTGAAAAGTTCTACGAAGCTGGACGTAAATTTACTTCGAATTCTCAATGTTACCTCTCCTTAGTGTGCAGGTGTAGTCGGCTCAACGTAAACACCACTTTAGTTTCATGATCTCCTATAGGATGAAACATCTCACAAAAAACTTTTTCTGCTTATTCATAGATTACCCTAAAATTCTTCTTCATATATAAAATAATCATATATCAATTCCCAACGACATAGAACTCTTATATATATATATATATATATATATATATATATATATATATATAAACTTCCAAGAGGATACAATCCAGGTAGGGCACAAGAATATAATAAAAATGGCTCATCGTGGCCTGACGATTGCATCTAGCATGAAACAGACTGTGGCCTCTAAGTATTAACTTCAATGTTCACTTTTATATTTACACACGCTCTATATCTGATACTGAGCACTTTATCCCAATATAGCACATAAGACTATATTTCTTCATATATATATATATATATATATATATATAGAAAGATAGAGAGAGAGTGTATGTAAATATAAATATAAAAGATTTCTTGAATCAATCAGTTCATAGACAGGCTGTTTCATGTTGGACGCTATCATCAGGCCTGACGATTGCGTCCAGCATGAAACAGCCTGTCGCCTATGACTGTTGACTTCAATTTTCACTTATATATATATATATATGCAAAATTACATATAATAATTTAATATTAATAATATGTTCTAATCTGTTGACATGTAAGCATACGTACACGCACATATGTGCACATCGCCACTTATAAACACACGCACACATATCGATATTCTTCTCAAAAATCTTGATAAGATATATAAGCAAAGCTTTGAAACTAATTCCGGCCTTTACGTATGAACTCAGGGTCAATAAAATCACATTTCTTGACGTCTTTATTGATTTCGGTGATCAGAAGTTAATCACTTCAACATACAAAAATTGCTATTATGAACTTCCGCTTCCTTTAGCCTCAAAGCGATTGGCTTTGCCGTTAAAAGAAAGCAGTCATAAAATAACTTATCAATCGGAGAAAGTTCATCTCTACTTCTAAAACATTAATCTATAAAGAATCATCAACTATTAAATAAAAACTTGGTAATAATGGGTTTGCTAATCACACTGTCAATGAAAGCATGGCAGTAATATTAATTGTAATATAAGCCGTTTCCTTATATGGAAACACTTGGTATTCATTGGCAGATCAACCACTAGTAGTCTCCGTTTGAATTCATAAAATATTTGTCTTAAAACAATTTGTCAGGAAAATACGTTTATCAAGTCCAGTAGCTGTTATCGCTCTTTCCAGTTTTCTAAGCTCATTAGAACAATTGCCATGAAAATATTTAGAAAAGACAGAAAGAAGCCACTTGATCGCAGTTGAAAACCGACTGAAGTCAAAATAGCACGTCAGGATCGACCACACTAGAGAAATTCCTTCGGATTTTCACGAGATGTACAACATGAACACCAGACCAGATATGGCACCATATTCAGTGCATGGACGAAAGGCAGATTTATAAACTTTTAAGATGGATTCTAACGAGAAAAATTGTCTGGTACAGCAGAGTGAAACATCATTTGTTCTAGTTGCAGAACAAGCAATTTATATATCATCACCCTAATAATGACAGAGGAAAAACTGAGATCGTGAAGGTGCAATGTTTCCTGGAGGTTAGCATTAGCCTTGTTGATGTAAGTTAAAAAAAAAAAAGTTTCTCTATGGTGTTTAAAAGATAGCAGTTTTGTTTTGGAGACTTTCAAATTTACAATCCATTCCTTGTCCCAGTTAACAACTGATTGGAGGTCATATTCGAGAACAGCTGGCAGTTTTACTTTGACGGACCTATTAGACATTACTATTGAGACAGGAGTAAATAGATGTGCCATCAGCATAAATAACTAACTAGGAACTGAGGACATCGGTAAAGATGTTGATGAAGATAAGAGACAACTTAGGGGTCCTATCAATTAATTTGAAATAATCTAGAGGCATTTTCGTTCAATTCGACAAGATTTGTTATGATTGATTGAAGTCAAATATTGATGAAATTTTAGTCAATATTTTTCTCTACTGAATTCTTTTATCTGCTATTTTAGTAATTATTTTTCCATTTTACTAAAGAACTCCTCCCCGTTCGTTTTAAAAGATTTCTGGTGTTTGTCTATATTTCTGAGATGAGGTATTATGTACATTATTTACATTATTCGGACTATTGTCTTCATCTTTGTCACCATATTTATTACAACGTTTCGGCCGTTGTACGCTCCGGCCTTCATCAGGTGGTTGGAATGTCGAACTTAACCTTTTATTTCGCTCACTCCTCAACCACACATGACACAGTGGATAAAGGTGTTGGTTAGATCCAGTGACAGGATCCAAAGAGTGTCAGTTCAATACCCGGTTAAAGCAGTGGAGAACTTGGAGAGAGGAATTAACAGGAGATAACTGATAACTGACATCCATTAAACATGGCACGTGGAACTAGAACAGTCTACCCCAGTGAGCGAAATAAAGGGTACGGTTCGACATTCGAACCACCTGAAGAAGGCCGACGCGTACAACGGCCGAAACAAAAAATAATGCAAATATTTATTCTTGACCTCAATCTTCCACTATGGTGTGCTCTATTGTTTGTCTAAAATCATTACCGCCATTAATTTTCAAAATAAATAACAAATTTCATCTTCATTATCTATTATTATTCGGACTGTTATCGTCATTTTCATTTCAATATTCAAAACGCTTCGGCCATTGTACGCTCCAGGCTTCTTCAGCTGATTGGAATTTCGTCGAAACCTTTATTTCGTCCACCGGAGTAGATTGTTCTAGTTCCACGTGCCTTGCCTCTTCCGGATGTCTCGGTCACTTCCCTATTACTCGACTCTACAATTTCTTTGGTTCACCACTGATGTAGTCTGGTATTGAACTAACAACTGTTTGGGTTTAGTCACTTGATCTAACCAACGTCTTTATCCACTGGACCGAAATGGTATGAATATAACAATGAAAATGAGGATAACAGAGATATAGACTGAAATATTATCTTCATTTTTTTTAATATTAGTTTCTAAAAAATACTCTTATATAAATGTTACATGGTGGAAATGTCTATATGCCCCATTTCAGAAAATTAATAGAAACAAAAATCAAAAGTAGCATTTAAAATGGTTCAATAGCGGAATTAATCTAACAAATATATTTGTCAATCTTTTGTCTTCGTCCTGTCCAGCTGTTCACACGTCGAGCGCGTTCGTCACGACTTAGTGTTATTTAGCTTTCTCGAGATTTACTTTACCCACCAGTGAGTCAGGTTGTGACACAAGGTCGGTTTTTAACGTGGGGTCCCAATTGTTTCCACTCAGGCTGCTGGTCTAAGCTGGTCTTAGTTTGTCTAATCTGGTCAGAGCTTGTCTAAGCAGGTAAAACCTTGTCTAAGCTGGTTTTAGCTGGCAATAGCTTGTCTAAGCTGGTCAGAGCTTGTCTAAAGTAATCATAGCCGGTCATATCAGCGCTACGTAACAGATACCACGCAACGGTGGGTGGGGGGTAAGGATGGAGAAAAGGTCTCCGGCACGGAACAGATACTACATCTGCAGCATCCATTCCGACGGGAAAACCAACTTCTACAGCTCTGTCAATCCCTCCAGAAAAATCTGGAAGGAAAGCCCCTGTTATACAGCTTTCTCAATCCAAGGCCATTGCTAACTACTGGCTAATATCTGCCCAGTATCGTTCGTATGCAAATTTTGTTAGCGCCACCCACTCTAAGTAGAATGTCCTGCCTCACTAGCCAGTTGTGGAAGAGGGTGTAGCTCTTAATGCTTAGTGCGTCACATACAACCAACTCTGGATCTCTTGTGGGGTTGACCCGATTCTCCATTATATCAACATATCATTTTTTGGCGCTGTACCTCGTAGCGAAAATTACTCCAGAAATAATAACAAAAAATAAGAATATTATTAGCTGAATACAAATGACACGCAAAAGTTCTCAATCTATTAAAAACAAAACAAAAAAATCATCAAGATGCTACCAGACATAGAGCAACTTAATCTACATTAGAAAAAGCTCGTTAAAATTGAATGGAACATGTATAAACGAAGGACTGCCTTGTAAATATACAATATTTAAATATATATGTGTTTGTGTATATTTATGTGAAGGCGGACATATGTGACGACTTCCCACTTGATTATGGGTAAAATTCACTGCACCATAATGCGTCTGAAATCGTTGCCCGCTGTTTCATATATAAATATATGTCTCCTTTTCGAGTTATGAATACGGATTCTTCTTTTTATTCATATTTCCTTCTTTCCTTCTTATTTTTCATTACCTCTATTTTTTTTCTTCTATCTCCACTTTTCTCTTTCCCTTTCCTTCTATGACCACTTTGCTCTTTCTTCTTTTCTATCTTTATTCTTCTTTCTCTCTTTCATTCTATTCCCCAATTTCCACTCTCTCTTTCGTTCTATTTCAACACTCCTCTCTTTCTTTCCTTCTATATCCAATTTCCTCTCTCGTTCTTTCTCTATCCACTCTTCTCTTCTCTCATATCTCTTATGTTCTCTTTTTCTTTCCTTTCATCTCTACTCCTCTCTCTCCCTTTCTTTCCTTGTAACTTCTCCCTCGCTTTCTTTCGTTCTATCTCCACACTACTTTATTTTACCTACGGGCCTCACTCTTTTTTCTCTCTTTCTTTCATTCTCTCTCCTCTCCTCTTTTCCCTCGCTGTCTCCTTTCTAAGCAAAATATTTACTGATACCACCGCCATTTTGAAAATTTGATTACCTATCTTCTCTGTTAACTCATAGATATTTTATGGTTTTGCCTCATAACTCATACGATTCGAGTTTATAGTCCAGTAAATTATAGTTAAAATCTTAAACGTTTTTAGTACCTCCATTATACGTTTGCATTTTTCATCGATTTGCTTCTCGGATAAATGTATTGCATTTTTCATCCGACGAAATTAATTGTAATTGTATCATCGCTACGCAATCTTCGTGTGACTGGTGTCTCGTTAGCCTTTAGCGAACAATATATTAGAATAAAAAAGAAAAAAAAATACATAAACGGCATATTTACACTATTGTCATTGTTCGGACTGTTATCCTCATCTTTACTGTCACATTCACAATGTTTAGGCCGTTCTACGCACCGGCTTTCTTTAGGTGATATTTGTTTTAATTTCGAACTGAACCCAGAACAATTAATCTGTATGTTTGTGTTTCTGAAAATTGGTTCTATTACATTTCCGTAAACGTTCTTCCTATGTTTAGTTCCTGAAATGGGTTGACATATAAGATTCCCATATCTGGGTTTCTCAGTAAAATTACTGAAAAGCTGTTTTATTTTTCCCCGAAACAAATATCAAAAATGTCTTTTCTATAAATACTTTCATGGTAATTGTTCGGACAAGTTCTTCGCTATGGTTACTTAGACTTTTTGAGTTTAAGCGCAGTACTAGACTAAACAGATTTTTATCGCACTTCTCGCTTGTGAAACTTCCTTCTGGGTCCATGATTTCCAGACAACTTTTATCTGCAAAAATTTAAATGCAATGTTTACTCTTAATTATTTCCAATCATTAGTAATGTTTCTGTTCCCAATTCACATGGCACAGTGGATAAAGGCGTTAGTTAAATCCAGTGACAGGACCCAAAGAGTGTGAGTTCAATACCTGGTTAAGGCAGTGGAGAACTTGGAGAGTGTGATTAACAGGAGATAACTGATAACTGACAACCATTATAAATGGCACATGGAACTAGAACAGTCTACCCTAGTGAGCGAAATAAAGGGTTCAGTTCGACATTCGAACCACCTGAAGAAGGCCGGAGCGTACAACAGCCAAAAAGTTGTTATAAATATGGCGAGAAAGATGAAGATAATAGTCCGAATAATGTAAATAGTGTACATAATACCTCACCTCAGAAATATAGACAGATACGGACGAATGTACTTGGAAAAAAAAACATTAAAACAAAAAGTTTTGAAAATTTATCCACAATTTTAATCTTAGTGCTCAGTGATAAATCCATAGGCGAAACCTTTATTTCACGATACGGATTTTAACAAAGAATAAAAATATACATTAAAAATGTCTCTGCCAAACCTAACGACACACCACTTGGCATTCACTTACAAAGAGAACCAGTCTTCTCAAGACAATTGCATATTAGCGTTTGGCTGTGTCTTAAGCTAAACCTATTCCTATCATCCAATCCTTTCAAAGGAGACGAATTCAGATTTGCACATGAACACGTGAATAAATCCATTTTTCACGTGACCGGGTCCCCTATTCCAACGCCTCGTAGATAACATCTTACGGATAATGACGGAAAAACGCGAGATCGCAACGAGATTTTTGATGTCGTCTGCGTGATTATCAAACCACAACCGTTCGGTTATAAATTAAGCTCTTCAAGAGGAACTTTATGTCTTTCTTACAATATAAATATTTTATGAGCGAAACCAAATCCGACCATCATTGCTTGATTTGTGCTTGAAATGAGAGATGTTTACGAAAAGGAAAAATCTGTGTCGACTAATAATAGAAAACTGGTCAATTGTCTTTGTATGTCGTACAAGCACTTGCAGTGCCCCGGAAAAAATATCACGGGTTTTCTATTTATATTTGGTAATGAATATTGTTCTTTATGTGACGTGTCCTGTTAGGACGTAGGCGATCATGGTTCTCCACAATTTCCTATCCTTTTTAGCTCATTTTTTTCTCTTTTTGTAATTTCTCCTAAGCCTTGTCCCGCTATTCATATAATCGATACCACTAAATATGTGATGCCTTCAATTTGTCCTGTGAGTATCAGATTTTCCAAGCCCTCTTTCCTCATTATTTACCCCAGAAATATCAACCATCTCTACATGATGTTAAGTATAAATGTCGTTTTTGTTGGCATTTTCTCTAAATCTCCGTCGTTACTCACATATTCAGTCCATGGTATCCTCAGCATCCTTCTGTAGAAGCACATTTCTGTTATTTCAAGTCTCTTGTTAATATTTACGGAAATTGTCCAGCATTCATTGCCATATAGAAGGACAGATATTACGTAAGAGTTCTGTACTCATTTCTTTCTTTCTAGCAAAGTTTTTCTGTCTCTTAATACGCTGATTAGCTTCTGCAAAGCGCCTACATATTTCAGTGTCACGATGTGCGAGTTCTACGAAATTCAAATATCCGTGGAAATTCCCCTGTTGTGTCCTTAAGTATTTTTGTTTAATATTCCTAACAAAATATTGCAATAACAATAATAAGTGTGAATGAATGTCATTAGCTAAAGAATAAAAAAAAACATGAATGAAAATATTAGAAAGTGACGCGGTTTTTCTAATTTCACTAAAGCAGTCGCTAAACGTATGAGAGCGTTATCACATCCTTTATCTTCTATTTCTTTCTTTTTTCGCTAAAATAATGATAAAATGTAACCGATATTAACATGAAAGCTCTTACATTCTTTCTTTATTATTCGTCTACTCTTTAGACTTTCTTTATCTCTCTAAAATCGACAGCGTTTAGGGTATATTTTTTTCTTTCTTCTTTCTCCTCTCATACCTTAATCGTCAATTAATTATCTAATGGAATGGTAGATTGTCCTGCGCGTGCAAACTTATTGGGTTGTTCGGAAAACAAATGAATTCTTATTTCTGAATTACTGTATTTAAACTGCGTTTAAATTAGTGAGAATGCAAACTCTGAATATCAGTAAATTTCCGACATCGGGTTACAAGTTTATTTATGCCAGTAAGATAAAACTGTAAAGGTTTCGACGTCAAAAAATCTATGAATGCAGTTTGTGTTTCTTCATTGCAATGGAATGTCTTTTGGTTTAGATAATTTTTAAAATGTCGGAAAAAATTGTAGTCAATAAGCGGGAGACTAGGGTAATATGGCGGATGTGCAAAGTCATGTATCCCAAGTCGGTGAGCTTCTGTAGTCTTATGTTGGCAACACGTCGCCGAGCATTGCCCTGAAGAAGAATTAAACCTCGTCAATTAACCAGTGCCTCTTCGTTTTACGTAACTGAATATTTTAAGACATTTTTATGTTTATACTTCCTTTATGAAATGGACAAAGTTCGACAATTATTTTAAAGACATTTTTATGTTAATACATTCTTTTTATCGATACAAATATTTAATAAACTCTCTATTCATAAAAAACAGTATTAACAACATTTACCGGCCTGAATGTCCGAGAAATTGTCATACAAAATATGTGTCCTCCGACAGGAATTGAACTTGTATCCTATACGCAACCGTCATATAGCCTGACGTGCTCTTAACCGTTTTCGCCACAGAGGAGCATTCGGTTAGCAAGGTTGATTTTACTGTTTTTAAACTACAATTTTTCATAATTTTCTCACATACATCCATATCTGCTCATGGCGTATCCAAATGTAAACAACAACGTCACATATTATGAAATGGACAAAGTCCAACAATTATTTTTAAGACATTTTTATGTTTATACATTCTTTATATAGATACAAATATTTAAGTAAATGCTCTGTTTATAATGAACAGTATTAAACAACATTTACCGGTCTGAATGTCCGATCAATTTTCACAAAAAATATGCGTCCTCCGAGAGGAATCGAACCTGTATCCTATACAGAACCGTAATTTAGCTTGACGTGCCTTTAACGATTTCGATTTTCTATGATAATTTTTCTATCTCGTAGAGTGGTTGCCACTTCAAAGAAAGAGAGATCCTTCAGCCTTACTATTTAACCTATAGCTGGGAGGAAGAGTAGATGAAACAATGCATTTCCCAAATGTATTTTTGTGAAAGAGAATGTAAATTAGAAGTGATCTCAACAGGAATTCCAACTCAGTTCCCCAGTTTGCTTTTGTGAGTATCTAAAAGGTACGCTAACCACACATCGGTTTGACAAATAAGCTCCCTAAATACATTTTTCATAAACTTACTTACTTTAGAAAAGTTTTTAGGCAGGCACTCAGTAAGAATCAATTTTGCTACCGTAGCAATAACGTACGTGACAGCGTACGTACAGGTTGAATTTTCACTTTCTTGGGCAAATCAACATTGCCTCGGGGGGAAAACTGGGGGTTTAGGATGATAAGTACTGACTCCAAAGATCAGATTCATAGCTTTAACCAAATTTCGAGCATTTAGTTTTAAAGACCGTCAGAAAAAATCTATAGAAATATCTAATTTTCCTCAGGTTTTTTGCTTTTGACTTCAAAATTTGACTATTTCAAGAATAAATCCAAGTTGATAATTTTGTATTTAAATACATTGAAGAGAAATTCACACCAGAATTATAATCATGAATCACCACAAGCAAAATTTGCATTTTTCTTTTACTTAATTCGGTAAGTAAAACTGCATAGAAATTGTAAAAAAATTGCAAAAAAGTTAGATCATTTATTTGAGCATAATGCGAACAAAAATAGCTAAAAGTCTATATAACGCCATAATACTACTGGGCAAAAATTATAAGACAAAATGTTTTAAATTTGCATTGTTTATTGAAAATCACACTAAAATGACTGCATTGTATAACATTACATCAAAATATAGCAACATTGTTCAGTATAATTTCCCTTTGAAGTCAATGCTGTTTTTATTAGATAGCATCGCGATCTAGTAATGGTGTCTCTGTGCAATGCATCTTGTCCATTTACAAATTGTATAGCTTCAGTAAATTATAAATTTTCTAAGGTTTTTCTATAAGCTTTTCACAGATCACCGGAATTTAATTCCAACACTAATATTTTGAACCTAAACTTAATCTTTAAACTCGTCTCGTCAAAATTTTCGATTTGGAAAATAATATTTTGAGTCTTTATTTATCAACCCCAACTTTCAAATTGCGTGCAATACCACAGTTCCTAAATCAGCCTGCCCTAACAATTGCTCCATAACCTAACACCCTTTGAAAGTAAGGAGTAAGTTCCACTCAGGCAGCTTCCTTCCAAGAACTTCTTTGTGGAACAGACTCCCGATAGGATATTTTCCTAATGACTACAATTTTCATGTCTTTCACTCTAGTGGTAACCGTTATCTTTGTTACATAACATCATGAACTGCACTTCTTGTCTTCTCTTACGCCCATGCAACACCGAACAGTAGCCCTCAACCTTGAGTGGCTCTTGGGACTTGTATTAGATGAACATTACTATAAAGTGTATATCTATATATACGAAGAAATATCTGGAAGTCTGGAAATTCGGCCATAAAAACTCTACCAGGTGCTCCTTATTTCCATCCTTTTGCTAGATTAATTAAACACAGTAAGGCTTGAGGTGGGTAAATAGTGCGTCAGGTATTTGAGAACACGTGTTAAGAAAGCCGTCAGTTATCAGCTTTCACTAAAAATTTTGTCATGGACGCATCGACTCTGACACAAAAAATGAAAAACCCACACAGATTTAGAGATTCTTGTCGCCCTCTTCGTGTTTAAAGTCATAAAAGACTCCCAGGTTTCTGGCAAGAATGTGCCTTCAGTCACCAAAAAGAAATCGAAACTTTCTCAACGGGTTGACATTGTCAGGAATATTGAATTTATCCAGCAAATCCGAGAATCTGAAAAAACATGCATGTATTGGAAAAAAACAACCAAACGTGTGATCAACGAAGATATCAGATCTTTTTTTTTATATACCGTGTCCCTGCAGGACAGAAGCGATCATGACCCTCCACATCTTCCTGCCCCTTTTAACTCTTAATAAGTTTTGTAATTTTGTTATTTCTCCCAAATTATTTTTAACATTCATTTACTCAAGCCCATCAAGTATTTTACGCCCCGCTTTCCTTTGTCCCTCTTTTCCTCAATCTACCCCGTGAGTTTCAGATTTTCCAAGCCTTCCATCCTCCTTACGTACCCCAGAATCTTCAACTGCCTGTTAAGTATAAGTTTACATTTTGTTTCCATTTTCTCGAAAACTTTGCAGGAGCTCACATGTTTCTTCCGTAGTTTCCGGAGCATCTTTACGTAGAAGCCATATTTCTGTTGCTTCAAGTCTCTTCTTCTTCTTTGAGGAAATTTTCCAGCATTCGATGCCATACAGTAGGACAGATATCAGGTTAGAGTTCAGTATTTTTTTCTTTGTCTCTAACTAAGTTTTTGTGTCTCTTAATACTCTACTTAGCTTTTCAAATGCAAGCTTGGTCATCCCAATACGACTTATCCATATCTAACTAGCTATTACTTCCATGTGGAATCATGTTTCCAACTCTTTCTGAGATCAGACTTACCAGTTGCACCCCTGATGATGATCTCAGAAGGAGATGGAAAGTACTTAAAAAATAAAAGTAAAGAATGAAACTGTTACAGTGGATTTCTTGTCTTATTTAATTGTAATATACGGAAAAATATCCGTGATTATGAAAGGATTGTGATACTAATAAGCAAACAAAGTAAAGTATTTAATCAGGCATGACTAAAATTGAATTTGCTGCTTAAATACACAAATATATATGTAGATCTTTAAATGTACAAGTGTTTGGAGGTACAAAATTTATATATAGTTTTAAAAACAAGGAATGCATTGATTTTAATTTTAAAAGTCTCTAGGGCCCTTTCAGCCAACATCTCATCAGGAGACAATCGTTGGATCAGCGAAAAGAATATTAACGATAATGAAGAGCATAAAAGAGGGGGAAACACACTAAAATAACAAACAAGTATATATACTTATAACGAGGGGAGGGGAAATAATCGTGTAAATAAATTAGCGAGGGACAGTTAAAATAAAATATCCCCCAACAGATTAAGAGACTTTACAAATTCTTTCTGCCGGCAGAGAGAAGGTTTCCTTAATCCTATGCAGACCGATTCCAAAATCTTCAAATGATTGTTGGAATCGGCTGTATGAATAATTTTAAACCACACTTTTTTAAACAACTTGGCGCAGGCTATATTCTCAACTAAATGTTGAGCAATAGCCGATTCCATATTCATGGGGGGAAGATAACATATTCTATCAATCTTACCAAGTCTTATTTTGGAAGGTACGTGCTGATTAATTCTAAATTAAATCTTTAAATGTCCAATGTCGTTTGTGTCTACATGAAAAGTTATATATTATTAAGTTTCTGAAAGATAAAAAATTATTAAATCAAAGAAAAGAAATAGCAGTTTTTTGTAGACATTGTCTCATATTTTCCTTAAAAGTAATTATAAAAATAATTTGCATAATTATATATCAATTATTTGATCATAAATAAAATAGTTTATAAATGCGAGATTAAGTTTTAATATTTTAATTTTACCGTACCATATATAGTTTATTAGTAAATATAATAAATGTAGTATTGACAATTACGATGTAGTTTAAAAAATAAGTAAATAAATAAAATAAATAAATAAAAATACCAATTGTTTTGTAGTGTAACCCAAAATAAAATAAAATAAAACTGTCTGTGATGACACGTTCGCATAAAATAAAGTCAGTATCAACAGACAGAAATTTCAAACCCCCATGTAACCATAAACGATTTTCATTTTGCTCCATAAAATGTATGTTCATTCGTCAAAAAAGCCAACACCCCTTTAATAAAAATATTTTAGATGAGGACAACAGTCCGAATAATGTAAATAGTATAGATAATACCTCATACCAGAAATATAGACAGATACTGAGAGGCCGAAATATTGTAATATATATGGCGACAAATATGAGGACAATAGTCCGAATAATGTAAATAGTGTACATAATACCTCATCTTAGAAATCTAGACAGATTTAAATTTTAAGTTTAATTTAAAATTTAGGTTTTGGTTTCGAAACATGGTAATTACTGCCGCGATGAATATATATTTTTAAAAAAAAATTATACTATATACAGAGAGAAAGAAAGGAAGAAAGAAAGGAAGGAAGGAATGAAGAAAGAAAAAAGGAAAAGAAGAAAGAAATAGAAAAAGAAAGAAAGGAATATAAAAGTACTTAACGGCTGTTTCCGTGAAATAGCTAACAATTAAAAATCTTTTCATTTGTACCCACTTCTTAAAATAATGGCCTCCATTCATATTCGTGATCATTTTTGCAATATTTTGTTAAAGTCATTAAGCTCAAATATTTAATGATGCTATTTCGACAGATATTTTATTGTCGTAGAACTCGCCATGAGTTTACACAATTACTAACTTAAAAATTTTGATTCACCAGGAATTTGGATGGGAAAACCATTAAACTTTCAGGTCTTAAAACGAATATATTCTTAAATTCGGGTCCATTTTCTCACTTAACTTCTTTAGATCACAACCGCTAATTAGAATTGATCGTCACAACACTAAAATAGTTTTATTATTTATAAAGGTGGGTTTGTTTTTAGTGCATAAACTATAGAAGATGGAAGATTTTTCGTGATTTGGGTTGCTCAAAGAATTCAAGGATTTTGTATGTTTGTTTTTCGAAACTTGACTATTCTCATAAGGCTTACGACTATCTCATGTTGAATTGCCTGTATCCGGACGATCACCGAAGTTAAGCAACGTCGATCCTGGTCAGTACCTGGATGGGTGACCGCTTTAGAATACCAGGTGTTGTAAGAATGGATGTGCGAGTAGTATAAACGCCTTTCAGCCACATGATGTTAAAACATCGGTTCCCTTACGATCACCGAAGTTAAGCAACGTCGAGCCTGGTTAGTACCTAGATGGGTGACCGCTTGCGAATGCCAGCTGTTGTAAGATTGGATGTGCGAGCAGTATAAAGAGCTTACAGTCATAACATGTTAAAACACCGGTTCTCTTACGATCACCGAAGTTAAGCAACGTCAGGCCCGGTCAGTGCCTAGATGGGTGACCGCTTTGGAATACCAGGTGTTGTAAGATTGGATATGCGAGTAGTATAAAGAGCTTCCAGCCATATGTTGAAACACCGCTTCTCGTACGACCACCAAAGTGAAGCAATGTCGATCCTGGTCATTACCTAAATGGGTAACCACTTGAGAACGACAGAGATTGTAAGCTGGTGTTGTAATCGATAATGGCTCGGAATTGCTCATCGAAGTGCCGACTTCCAATTCACGTTGGGTTCCTTAAATCCACTTGGAAAAAATATGAACTCACTTCTCTGTAAATGTTTGGAATTAGGAGAGACAGCAAAACAACCAACCCTCAGGATGTAGACGATCGTGGCTCTCCACAATTTCCTGTCTTTTGTAACTTAATAAATTTTGTCTTTTTATTTCTCCTAAACTCTGTTCTACTATTTATTCAAGCTCATCTAGTTTGTTATGCGTTTTTTATCTCTGTCGCTGTTGTCTTCAATTTGTCCTCTGAGTATCAAATTTTCCAAGCCCTCTTTCCTCGTTATGTCCTCCAGAAATGTCAACTGTCTCTTCCTGATGTTAAATATACGTTTCCTTTTTGTTTCCTTTTTTCTTTAAAACTTCATCTTTGCTCACATATTTGGTTCGTGGTATCCTCAGCATCCTTCTGTAGAAATTTCATCTCTCCATTCCAGATGTTAAGAATACGTTTTTGTTTCGGTCCAGGGTATACTGAGCATCCTTCTGTAGAACCGCGTTTCTGTGGCTTCGAATATCTTCATCATCTTTGAGGCGACTGTCTAGTACTCTCTACTATACAGGAGGACAGGTATCATGTAACAGTTTAGTATTCTTTTCCCCGTTTCTATCGAATCTTTTCTATTAATACTCTGCCTAGCTTTTGTAAGGTATCTTTCGCTAGCCCAATGCAACCACTGATTTCACTGTAGCACTTTCCGTCTCCTGGTAAAACACTTCCTAGATATTTATAAAAACCCTACAAAGAGTTAAAAAGTAAAGGGAGTTGTGGAGAACCATAATCGTCCACGTCCTGAAGGGACACGACACAGGAAAGAAGAATATATTTAAAATAACGTATCAAATTTTTGGATGTTATGGTTACTAATAAAATACTTTTACGCCGTGCATCAGAACATTGTATCATTTGATTAATAGCTGGTAAGTGTTGATTTGATTTTGAATCGATACCCTGAAGAACAGACTATTTATTTAGACCGTATGCGGTCTCGTCTTTGGAGAAACGTTCAGTCAGCTCACGACACAACAGATGATATATCTGAATTATCCATTATACCTTCGGGATTTTAACAGGTATAGAGTGCCGTTCGATTTTATAGCAGACTTCTGGAAAAGTGATGTCTACTCAATGCTCGCCTAATATCGTAAAGTCTGTTAATATCATGATTACAAGAGAATCACTTAAAACAATTTCGAACGAAAGCGTGTTGGCCGAAATAAATATCTGTTGAAGAATCCTGGTTTTCTAGAAGCGTGAATAATCCAAGACCAAGCAGTAAGAACCTTTCTGTTGCACAGTAGAATATCCAGACAATTCATAAGTCTAGGCATATTTAAATTATCCATTAAGGTTTTAACTTTGTTATTTTTAGCCGATGTTTGGATAAAATTAATGAAGCCAAAAAATATTGAAAATTATCAAATAAACAATAAGATTAGATAAATAATTAAATACACTATTTACATTATTCAGACTATTCTCACATCTTTGTTGCCATAGTTATCATAACGTTTCGGCCGTCGTACGCTCCGGTCTTCTTCAAGGGGTTCGAATGTTGAACTGAACCCTTTATTTCGCTCACTGGGGTAGACTGTTCTAGCTCCACGTACCATGTTTAATGGATGTCAGTTATCAGTTATCTCCTGTTAATTTTCCCTCTGAAAGTTCTCCCCCACCTTTATCCACTGTGCATCCTCAGGGACACATGGTACAGTGGTTAATGGTATTAGTTAGATCTAGTGACAGTACCCAAAGTGTGTGAGTTCAATACCTGGTTAAGGTGGTGGAGAACTTGAAGAGAGGAATTAACAGGAGATAACTAATAACTGACATCCATTAGAAATGGCACGTGGAGCGAAATAAAGGGGTCAGTTCGACATTCCAACCAACTGAAGAAGGCTGGAGTGTACCGAAACGTTGTGATAAATATGGCAACAAATATGAGAACTATAGTCCGAATAATTTAAAGTGTAAATAATAACTCATCTCAGAAATATAGACAGATACTGAAATAATTAAATATTAAATAAATAATAAATTTAGATTTTATTTATTTTCTTTTGCATTTTTTGTCCAAGCCGACTTCATAGGTAATTCGGGAACGATTAAATTAAATCCATCTTTTCTGGTTAGAGCCACCATTACTGTACAGAATTTGCCGATATAAAAAAGGATTATTTATAGCTAAATTTCCTCTAATTCTTAAATTAATTCTTAATTCCACCAAAAAAGAATGAATGTTATTAAATTCCTAAAAGTTCAAATACCTGTTTTTCGTGTACGTACCTCAACACATTCCCGATAATTAAGGTTTAAAATCCATTTTAAAAATGAAAAATCTTTCTTGAAGCTTTCATTTTAGTTTTAATTTCAATTTAATAAATTAAATGTAATATTTCCAGTAATCAGAATACTTTGCTCTATTTCCAAATTAATTTAAACTGACTGTAGGGAGTTTTCTTTTACTAAAAAATTGATTTTAGCGACATTTTTATTGCAATATACTTTATTAGAAATCATTCAATACATTTCTAAAACTTTATGTAAGGAGTAGTAGCTGATTTGAAGTATAATTAATCTGATTAGAAATAAATACTATTTGTTTTAATTTAAAATATTGCAAAAATCCATTTTTTTTAACTTGATGAGAGCTGCCTATTTAAGGTTTTCATGTGCTGATAGCGTGATGACAGATCTAATGTAGTTCTACAGGGACCTTATCTGTAAAACATTATTGGAGAAAATGACATGAGCGCCTTTTTTATGTAATTTTTAAGTACTCGGTAATCTTAAAAAATTAGGAAAATATTCTTCGTAATTTAATATTTTACTAAATTTTAGATAATTTGCCTTTAAATTTACAATAGTTATCACTCTTATTTTCTGATAATGTCGTGTATGAACACCCGTATCAACAAAAATTATTCTAATTATAATTTTTAAAAAATGAAAGCAACCCTTGTAAAAATTCATTATTTATCAAAACAATTTCTTAAGACAATAGTGTCCTTAATATACCTTATATATAAAACAATTAAAAGTTTTTTTTGTTTGTTTTTTATTAAATAATGTTATATTCCATTTTTTATTTTACGATTCAGAGCAGATTTTCAGTAATGCTGCTTTTGTTTGCAAAAAAGAAAAAAAATAATGTTAATTTACTATTCTCCAAGGAGTTGTGCTTTTAACTCAAGTTAATATTAAAAGTGGGGGTGAAATTTAATTTCTCGAAATTTCATAAATTAATAAGAGGGTAGTCGGGTGTAACAGCTGTAAAAAATATTTTACCAAGATTTTCTAAAAACGAAAAATTCTGAAATAATTTCATTAATTTGTGAATAATTCTTGACTGTTTCATTAACACCAGGTAATTATTTGATTTTTGCAAGAATTTCCAAATCAGTGTGTTTTTTACCGCAAAAAAGTTAAAATTTCCAATACTAATCTTTCCTTCCCCCACTGACGTAAGAAAAGCAAGACATTTAACCAAAATTTCGAAAATGCTAAGAATGATTAAAAAATTAATTCATTAAACAAAAAATATTTGGTCTTTCCTCTTAATAATAACATAAACATTTTGACGAGAAAATTTTGTTGTTATTAAGTTTGTGGCATTTATCATCATGGTATGCACTTTTTTCAGGAAATTATTTTATATTAAAAAGGATGATGATAATCACAGTGTCATTATATTTTTTTCAAGTTCTGAATCCAAATATAAATTTCTTGGCTATAATGCATGATGATAATGACAGTGGCATTATATTGTTCTAACTTCTTAATATAAATTTTATCAAGTGCTTAGATATAATAACTTTACATAGTATGCAGAAAACAGTTTTGATATAAACTTGCGTTTACTTCATATCATTTTATTTGGATATTGTGCATGAGTAAGGTGAAAAATTCTTCCAAGAAAGTTATAGCAGGAGAATATCAATGAAAATAACACAGAAGAATGATAGCAAGAATTTAACATTGGATAAATCTAGTAAGAGTTGATGAAAATCAAATAAGCAAAAGTTCTTGCTGTGATTATCAATATTCAAATTTTCGTATCGAGAAAATTGTTCGAAAACAGTCATTCGAAAAGCATTTATTTGAATTGTTAATTGTTTGAAATTAAAATTAATCGAAGGGACAATTATACTAAATAATAATTATTTGAAATATCTGTTTGAAATACGTATGTGGTCTTACTAAGCGAGAGTCAATGCTGATTTACGTAGAACTAATAACGCCCTTGAAGGATGGCATAGGGATGTTTTGCAGTGTAATCCCATCATTCCACAAGATGGAAATTCTTAGAAGCTCTTAAAAGAGAACAGGGCTTGCTAGAAATTCATATTGCAAAAGTAAGAGCAGGTTGTCAAAATTCCAAAGAGCGCCGAGAAAAACTGCGACGTAAAGGAAAAAAACTTAGTGGCATCCTTTAACAAGTTCTCTTCAGTAGTTGACTATTTGAGTGCAGTATCTCATACCTTAAAGTTATAAGGATTTGTTCTTACTAAATTGTTTTATTAACGATATTTGTATTTCGAATAATTATCATTTGTGTATTTCTTCTTTTAATTTTGATATTTTTATTGCAATAAAGAATTTTTCATTTCGAATAATTATCGTTTACTATAATTGTCCTTTCGATTAATTTTCATTCAAAAATTTTTACAATTCGAATAAATGTTGTTCGAATAATTGTTATCGAACAATTATTTTCAATCAAAGTTCACATAATCCAAATTTTAATCACTTATAATTATTTCGTATTTCGAATCAGAAAGAGACAGATGCAATTTAGA